TTACTGCTTTACTGCGTTATGCGTTACTGTGTTACTGCACTGTACTAAAGTATGGGCATTAAGAAGCAGAAATGTGGAAGTCCTCGTCCTGCAGGATCATGATCATATGTGTCTCTATAATCACTGTTGCATTTAAGCTGCAGCTCATTGATCAGTTGTCTCCTGAAGATCAATAAATGTGATCTTTAGTCATTGATTACGTTCAGTCTAATTTATCTGACTGTAAAGAAAGTGAAGTTCTACAAATAAAAGTGTGAAACAGCGGAAAATAAAAACAACTGAACTGAAGTTAAGCTTTTTTTCAAATCTGTCAAACAGCTGCACAGTTTTTCTCCTGATGAATGATTCGTAGAGTTCCTGAGGATTGTACTAAACTCCAGAACATGTACTCAAGTAAATGTTTACTTCAGATTACTGACAGGAAAATCCACTAAATTAGACAAAGAAACAAAGTTTATCCCGACTTTAAAGCTGAAATTAAAATCTAACAGCAGCAGTGAAGAAGAGGATAACAAGAGGAGGATGAAGGTGAGGAGGATGAAGGTGAGGAGGAGGATGAAGGTGATGAAGGTTCTGGTTCTGACCATCTGTCCCCTGGTGTGTCTCTGCTGCTGCTGATGCTGCTGGTCGAACATGGCCGAGTCCAGCGACAGCCCCCTCCTGGACCAGTACTTGCTGGAGAACATCATCATGGCCGGCTGCATCTTCGGCACCGGCTCCGGGTCGTCCTTCATCACATGGGCCGAGGCCATCGGGAACCAGTGGGTGTATGAGTACCAGGGCTCCAGCCTGCTGCCGGTTCTGTCACTGATAAGAATACAGTTGGTTCTGCTGCTGCTGCTGCTGCTGCTGCCTCTGATGATGAGGATGACGATGAAGACGGGCTGGGAGTCGACACGCCTCCAGATAAATACTGGCCGAGGAGGAGGAGGCTGAAGCTCCGCCCACAGACCTCTGACTGACAAACAGAAAAACCTTCTGCTTGGACACACTCAGTAGCAGTTCTTCATCAGTTCAGGGGGTTCTCTGGTTCTTCAAAGCTCCATCACCAACCGAAGAAACTCTTTGTTTAGGTGATGGTTCCTCCCCTACCCTCTGTGGATCTTTAAAGGTTCTTCCTGGAGGTCTTTGGTTTGGTGGCAGGAAGCAGCATGAAGTCAGAGCTGCAGCTGGTTCTATTCTGGACGAATCATCTAGTCGATTAAACATCAGAAAACAGAGAAATGCTCCTCACAGTTTCACAAACTGGCATCTTAGAACACGTTGTTCTGTCTGACCAACAGTCAAGAACCCAAAATGTTAAATGTGTTCTAATGGACGGAACCAAGAAATGGTGCAAACTCTGATTTGACATTTTTGCTTAAAAACTACACAAATAATGATCAAGTCCTGTTATCAAAGTAGAGACAAGTTGGTCCACTGAAGGTCCAGAACCATTTATGGTGGCTAAAGGGACCAGTTTGTTGGAGCACCTGTAATGGTTCCAGAAGGTGTCTTGACTGGTAGCTCTTTGAGGCCCCTTTGGGGGCTCTTCAAAGAACATGTTGAAGGAATGTTTCCTTAAAAAACTTTATGTGGGGGTGCCCTGGTAGCTCAACCGGATCAGATCAATGTGTCCAGGTGTGTCCAGG